ATTGTTGTAAAAAGTTATTCTGCACTTTTTCTGTGTACAAACTTTAACTGTGCCTTTCACACTTGTCCATCCGAGCAAATACCATCCAAATTCCGTTGAATCTGTTCATGAGCATATGGAACTGGCAAAATTTGTAAATATAAAATTTAACTAATACAATCAAGAAGTATTCTAACAAAAAATATACTTATCTTAAAAGCCATTCATTTAAGCGGCTAAACTTCGATCAGCTGAGTAACCGTCACAACGTCCTAGCTACTCCTCAGTATAGCAAAGCTTAAAGTTCTTACTAAATTTTATTTGAAAACTCAATGTTGACCAAAACAATGCGATGTAGAAGTATACTTAACGCCATCTAGTACACAATATTTAGTTGGTGTTTCCTTTCGTATAAAAATGGTTTGAACTTGAACATCTTCAAAAATATTACTTTAAAATGTTTTATGTACTCAAATACCAATTTTTACCACTATATTAGAAAATCTTACTATGTTAACAATATTAGATAGATTTATTACAATGACAAATCAAATTGTAATCAATGGTTGCTAAGGTAACATTAAAATTCCCCATAAAACTTTCACTCCCATTTTCATCCCTTTAAGTTCTAGCTTTCAGAATAAAGTATACTTATTATCTTAGGGTCTTAAACTACCCAAATACCAATTCGATATAAGTCCAAAAACAATGAAGTTAATTACAAACGTTTTTACCCTTTTTGACCATCTTCGGGATGGAATTTCAGTCATTCGGTCAGTTAGGACATCTCCTATTAAATATATTATTTAGTATAGATTACTCGTCAATAAAATATATTCCCTACTCTAGTACGAATCTTCATTCAGTTCCAACCACCTGTACAACCGAAATCTACGTAATTAACGTTTAATTTCAATTTAATTTCGTCAAATTAATATTTGATGCGAACGAAGCGGCTTGATATGTACGACTGGTTGCGGGTGAAAGCCTTACACATGAAGCAGGAATGAAACTGGTATTATACGATCATACATATATATAATTGCGGTGCGGCAAGGATTGATTGGTTAAAATGAATCAACCTCCTTGATGGGTACTAACTATAAAATTGTTTAATAGTAGCTGTTTCACACGACTTCACAATGCGTAATTTATAGCATATGTCACTCGCGTAAGGTGAAGCTGGCAAGCTACATCATATGAGAGTAGACGAAATATTTTTTTTAAATCAAATAACATCTCTACCATTGCCAACGATTATATTTACTAAGTATTCTATGTAGCTCAGTGATGTAGTGGATAAGCGCCACGGCCTGCGATAGTTGTTGTTAAGCAACTTTCGAAAGGTTCGGTCATGGGATGGGTGACCGTAAACTTATTATCTCGAGCTACTCCGTGCTTCGGGAGGCACTTTAAGCTGTTGGTCCCCTGCAGTGGGGACGTAAAAGGGCTTTTGATGATGATGACGGAATATTCCATGAATTTAGCTTAGCGCAAACCTAAGGGGCATTCCCCTCTTAAGAAACGCTTATATAGCATTCTTCTAACAAGATGAGCATTTCGTTTCAACATTCCTATCCTCCAACCAAACCATTAGATATTAATACCAAGTATTTGTGCGTTGCATTGTCGTAGATATCAAACGGTATTCACTAATTAACTACCACGTTACTTATTCTCTCACGTTTTCATATTGTCTTTAATTTTATTTCTTTCTGGAGACTTCTATAACGGTTTGTCCCCTTTTAATTACGAGACTAATATAATTAAAATTTATTTATTTTATATCCATTTTGCATTCACAATGCTATACTATTAAATATTTTTAATGAAAATATAAAAGTTTGTAAAAATATTTCTTTCGGCTATTTGACTGGATTGCCTTTGAAACATTGATGAAAAAACGCTCATTATTAGCAAAAAGTAACAAGTGCTTGATAAATTCGTCAGTCCTGTTGGGTCTCGGGAATATCAATGGTTAGAGCTGTCGCCCGGATTGCGGAAGGTCGTGTGTTCGAGTCCCACCTGTGAGTTAGGGCTGGTGGATTTTTTCTATACCTTACATCGTTTTTTTCTATCTCTCCACAATTTTCTTGTAAAGCACTTCATTAAGTACAAAAAAGAAATATCTTTGTGCAATTTCATGAAGAAAATTACTGGAAAACTGGCACATTTGAAATAAGAACTCATCATTGCTGTGACATTTCGATATCTATCATTCACCTGAGATAGCCATTTGCAATGAAAAATTTCGGGGAGGTTGTTTGATTACGTCATAAGTCTTCAGGGACCGCGTTATCCTGACAGGGTGTGAAATTCGACGTGTATCCTGGACATAAAACCCATTAGGGTGGATGTTATACGTAATGACCGGGCTACTGACAATGCACTTGATTGATAATAGCATTAGATCTGAACTGTATCTGTTTCCCGGTAGAATCTAAAGTAATGTTCTATAGCATCATAAGAGCTAAACAATGGAAGTAAATTAGCGTCGTTGCCAGTGGGGATCTTTTTCTCTGTTTTGGTGAAAGATTTGATTTGCTGTCTGGAAAAAATATGGATTATAATGTTAACTTTGGTGGAAATTTCTTGGTAAATAAATGCTGTGTTGGGGATTATTTATTACTATCATTTTAGATAAATAATATTTACCAAACTAAAGAAATATAGGAAGGAACATTTGGCATCTCTCTATTATTGTGATGTGATTTAATTAAAATGCATGTGCAAATGGAATGAGAAACTATTTGATTGACATCTATACATAGTATAAATGAAAGTAGCTACCTGCTGTCTATACTCTGATTTATTTTAAACTACACAACGGATTTTATTATGGTTTTCATTATTATATAGGGATAAGTGATAGATATTAATCAGAATCACACCAGCGAAGCAGCTGGTGGAAAGCTAGTACAATAACAAAAGATTTAACATAAGATCACAAAGTGTGGCTGTATATTTTTTATAAGCGTACTTGAATATAAAACACACTTAATATCGTACGATGACTAAGTACTCCTCTGAACACATCTCATCTCGTACTTGTCCGATAGTCACGACACAACAACATAAGTCGAGTTAAATTTTCCAACCTACACAAAATTTTCATACCTAAAATAATATTCATTTTCCGCCGATACTGTTTTTAAATCAAACATAACGCGTTGCGTGTTAAATGAGTAACGATAGCCACTTATTAATTACACCGTGTCAACATTATAGACAGGGCCGGCTCTAGTCCATTATTTAACGTACGAGGGTGTGAAAATCTCGCCTCTAAATATTCGTAAAAAATATATATTTCCCTTTCAGACGTTTCGAGTAAGATTTTATCCTCAGTGTTGCATAAAGCTAATTGGGATGTCTTTCTAAACGGCCTTGGTATCTGTTATTATGGATTTCTTTCTGAACAGTGTCCATCATGAGCTATGTATATCGGTATTGGTGTCGAACGAAATTAAGTGGTATTCCCTACCACTTATTGAGCGCAATATAGCGGTCTGCATTTTTTGTTTTTTGTTAATATTTGATATAAAAACACTACTCCAAAGTTGAATTCCGTACAACCACAGAAATATATCTAGTCGTACAACCATATCGGCTTAATGACGGCACACAAATATTGACGTTGAGATTTCAGTGAAAATTGATTGATATCGCATTTATTTTTTGTTGGATTGCATGCAGTGTTAACCTGTAACTGTTTTTGCATTTACTAATTTATAAGATTAACTAAGTTTTTACAATGTATAAAACATTGGTAAATAAATAAATAGATGTATGGCATACCTAAGAGAACAATGACATCTTTAATATTAATCATTTTTCAAAAGTAGCTTTCAATATTCCTTTATAATAACCTCGTTATATATATAAGACGGTATAATTTTAAAGTTGATATTTACTTTATTTTTTTACATAATATTACAGCAATGAGATTTTTTTTTTATTCTTCTGTTCATAATAACTACATCCGTTATCCCTCATCTACCATTGCTGACATAGCACTTATCCTATCTTCCCTAGAGCCGAACCTGCCCGCAGGTACATGTGAGAATGGTGTAAAATTGGAAAAACGAAATTGGGCGCGCGGTGAGCCCATTAATTGCTACCATTAATCTTTTGACCGTAACCGATTCTTTTACCCGATTTTCCGATACGAGGGGAAAGAATCCGACCGGTTCTGATAACATTAAGTCTATGAATAAGTAGAATCATTATATTATATTGTAGTGATAATTTTCTATTCGTGATATGGTCAAAGCATATTTTAGATTTGTTTGTGCTTAATGTAACGTCGAACGAAATAAAAATTATCTTATAATAATCCAAAAATCCGAATCCGAATATATATTATAGACTAATAGGTTTCTTATTCCGCTTCGTAAGCGACAACAACATTCGAAAATACAATAAATACCTTATCAAATTATTTTTTATTGATATTTGGCTTCCCGTATACAGATTTACTACTAAACTGAGTTTTCATATAAAGCTAACTGTTTATTAATCCTAATATGTGGTAATGGTTTGTAGATTAAACCTCTGTCTACTCAATTGCACTGTTAACGGCTGAACGGGTTTGATTGATGTTTGGTCCAATGCGAGTTAAATTATAGTCAGAGTTGAGCTGTACAGATCTGTTCCCCAATCTGGAGAAAATAAATCACGCTAATCCGTTTTTAGCCTTAAAAATAAATCTTGAATTGAATAATCATTTATAAACTGTCAAAGAAGGGAAATTAATCTTACGAATAAAAAAAAACTCGATTTTACACTAAATGCATATCTATAATAAGTACCACTCACATTATGTGGTCATGTTTCAGTGCTTCACTATTATCGCAATGATTTTTTTGATATTATACTTATTAACCCATATTCTTCGTGTATCAAACATGGTATTAGTTGGTGCTTTATGTTTAGCTTATTTAGTTTTTTTATTCTTTCGTCAGATGGCAGCACGCAGTGGGTGGAGACCGCGGCGGCGGCACTGCAGGTGAGCTGGGCGCACCATGGCGCCGACAGCGCAAGCTCTAACCGCTCTTGTGGCACTCGCCACACTTGCAGTAGGAGCGCGGGCCTACCTCGTCCTCGTGCCCGATACGGCGCCCCCTGGCCACGCAGTTCTCGACGCTGCCGTATATAAGCTCGGCTCCGAACGTACTTACACCATCGACGTTCATCGCACCGCTAATTTTGTCCATCATATTCTTAGAGTCAACAGAACCACTGGCCTCGTTACCCTCAGGAAAAGGCTCAGATGCGATGGTGTTCTATACCCCAATCTTTTCACCTTCTATGTGGACTCCACTTCTGAACGGATTCGAGATATCGACTACTATAGTCTCCCAATAAGAATTCTCGTGACAGGCGAAGATTGTAGCCGGCGACATGCTGAACTTTATGAGATTGATTTTGATCGAGTCTACGACCAGGAAGATGCTGCACTACAATATGAAGATGATAACGTACGAGATAAAAGACAAGCTACATTTTCAGAACCTATAGATTGGAGATTGTTCGAAGATGAAGAGGCGGAAGCAGCTAGTCATTATAATATACTTTCCACGGCTTACCCGTGGTCGATGGCCATGTTCGAAGACTACGTAGCTAAAAACAGAACTAGAAAGAAACGATCTCACACTGTGATACCTTTCGATATGGCCGTCGATGTAAAAATAGCTGAAGCCAAAAAGTGGATTTCGGAAACGTATGCTAGCTTCGCTATACCGACCACTGACAGGTGGCAAGGGATATGCTTGAGAAGTTCGCAATTTATTAACTCCCTAACGGCCTTTTTACCGAGGACAGTACAAAAGATGTGCAAAGTGCAGTTTTTGGACGTAAGTGACCCTCGGTTCACTATTGAAAATAGTCAAGGTGATTTAGTTGCTAGTGCTGACGTGTGTATACATGAGCCAATGTGGAAGGTGTCCATTCTCTTTACGTTCAACTGTGATCGGACTAACATCATCGACTCTGACCACAGACTGAAAATAGTGTACCATCATCAAGAGTTGAACGACACTGATATTGCTAGAAGAGTGAAGAGGGAACTGCGGAACCAATCTCCATACTTCGAGCAAGCTCTTTACGTAGCTTCCGTTGCTGAGGAACAACCGTCTGGAGTAGTAGTCACTACAGTTAGAGCGCGGTACGTATTCATATTATCAATTATTTTTAGTAAAAACTCTTTAAAAGATTTTTACTTGTGTTGGTCCATTGCAATAACTATAAAACTATCTGCGATATTTACCAGCGTTTACACATACACTATCTTGCAATATGTTTATGGTTTTTATAGCGGAGCAGTGGTTCGTAACCTTTTCCATGTGAAATATTAGGAAAACTTTAAAGACGTGGGTATAAATACTGTAACGAACACAATATTAAATTTTTAATTAAAGTTAGTGTAGTTATTGGTATTACTTTGAATTGACTACCTATTGATTTTATGTTTAGTTATATCTTAAATAATGTTTCATATAGAGATGCTTTCTTTCGCTTTTTATTAATTATCAAAACCATAAATAATAATCAAAATCTCATCGAATAGTTGACATATCTTCGCTGGGGTTACTAATACTAATAGGTTAGTAATTTTTATGTTTATTTATTTATTTATTATATCATAGGAGCTAATAAACATAAATAATATTCAGAATAGGAGGCAGACAGTCAGTTACAGGTCTTCAAAAACATGAAACAAAGTTTACACGAACAACTAGTAAAGCAGTCTACTTGTATAGAATTAAAGTTTACAACGGAAAAAAAAACATTGCTTAATGCGTTTCTTGCTGAATATGGACTAGTATTATATAAATCAAAATTGAAAATATTGCATAAGATATTAAATTTATCACTTGGCCATCTGTATTTGTCTGTATCAAGGGAAGATGTAGGAGTGGGTCATTTCTCTCTCTCTCAACGAAAGTTAGTTGACGGTTACGAATTGCTATTTGTGTAAGTGCACTTATATGTGGGCCGTTCACATGTGTTGCAGGTACTAATTGGATACAGCAAGTTTCTTAATATTATAGAATTAAAACGTTCATGGTGAATGATAGAAAAAATCAGCATTTAAAAATGCCAAAAAGTCAATACTCTCATTTCACGCTTGGTTGCAATCACAAAGATTACAACTGTTCTCACTACGTGGCTTCGGTCTCGGTCCCGTAATCCATTTTTTGTTTGAGTTTACCTTAAAAAAGTCGAAGCTTCACTTGTACAATTATCACGATATCGTAAATGTCAAAATTTACAATGTCTTAGAACAGAATTATGGGCAATAAACTCCCTAATGCCTTGCTACTCTAAGAGGGGTATAATGATTCCTTTTTCGATATCGTCTTCCTAAAAATATAAATGTCTTGTTTAAGGTGGGACGTCACGGATTCATTAGTTTTTACTGCGAAGAGATTGCGTTAGTTCACCAGCATTTGTACTAAATAACACTATTTGCATTAGCGAAACATGAATTACTCTTCTTAGCTCAAAATACTAAAGAGGTGTCATCTGCAAATATTTCTGTCTCGCAACAAATTCTTCATAAAGACAGGAAGATCATTAATGTAAATTAGAAAAATCAATGGTCCCAATATCGATCCCTGAGGCACGCTGCGAAGTTTAAAGTAGTGCCTTAATTCAAAGTATTTCAACCCATCCAATTGGATGAATAGCGACATCTATTGACAGTAATACCGAATTAATCCGTGACTGAACCACCTTAACATGATAATGTAAATCGTCACATTTGACGTCGGACCAGCTGTTGAAAATCTATCTGTCTCGCTCGTTAATTGACTTTGAGCCGGCTCGTTGGGCTTTTATGAAGTCATCTATTTTATGCGGTCCGGAACCATTGTGATGGGCCATTGGTCGCGTCGCCAGACAATGCGGGCAGCAATAAGGTTAAAACCACGTAATCCAGGGTCTATACGTAAACATGGTTTTACTAAAATAAAGTGGCTTAATGTGTTTTATGTGCTGCGAGTAAAGTAATGCTTGACTTTATTATATTGGAATTCTTTGCAGAAATTTGCTGTTTGTTTTATTTTCTTTAATCATAGTACATATACCCAAATTGTGTGTGCTCCGCGGAGAAATAGGCCAGATAAAACATGTTTCTGATCGTGACCATACATTTTAAAAAGTATATGGTTACGATAGAGTATATAACCTGATCGTGACCATATACTTTTACAAATGTTTTTGCCAAGTAAAATTATTGGATTAATCAATCATTTTTATAGATTAAAAATTAAAAGTTCGTATCATAGGTATGATCATAGGCTATGACTGTAGTAACTATTTTGACATTTCGATAGATTTAGCTTAAAGTAACTCTACTTCAGTAGAATTTTGGCGTATCATGCAACTCATCAACCTAAAGAAACAAATGCCAAAACCTAAACTTAACAAAAATTCTTATTTTTCAAAGAGTCACTGAGATTTTGGTTATACTAATATTATGAAGAGGATATTAGCCATATGTGAACATGGAACCTGTAAAGGGTCTGAAACGTTAATAAAATAAAATACGTGATCAAACCGTTTAAGTGTTGTTTCATTTATGGATAGTGCGCGTAAAAATATAAGAAATCAGTATCCTTGTTATAATTAACGAAATGCGGTTACAACAAATATTCTGTTAGATTTGTTATATGTATTATCGATCACTTTAAAAGCTTTTCAAGGAAACACTCACGCAAGTTAGCTTCTATAAAACCGTGAATCATATTGTCGTTGAACTTACATGACTCACCGTAGCAATAATTTTATGATCGAATAATGAGTTTCGGTAAATATTTCGATTACTGCGTCCCTACTATAAATGATATTCATTGAACTTGTTGTTCTTGGGGTAGTGTTAGTCCATCGAGTTTTAAAGTAAACGATATGATATGTATCGCTTACCACAGACATCTGTATGGTTTCAACGGAGTTGCTACTTAGTGCTTTTCAGAAACAATACAGAGGTCTATTGAAAGCGATACGTATAGTTTCATTTCGACACACATAATTCATAGTGTTCGTTTTTTGCCTGCCCTTGGAACTCACTCTACGTTTACTTTAGTTTGGTTAGCATTAGATTCAACTCGATGCATTGTAATTACAAACTTTAGTACAAGTACTTATGTGGTACCTATTACTTTGAATCCAATACACACATTTATCTTATTTATTATTTCATAAGAACCATCTCCTAACAATAACAACAAAAAAAAAATGCGACATTGGTCCAGCGGTTCACGTTTGATGGCGTGACCAAGGGAAATACGGATTCATTTGTATATACATATAAAATAAAAAGTTATCAGAAGAAAAATAATTATCAAAAGTGATTTTTATTTAAAAATATAGCTTTCATTAATATATCATTAAAATCAACTTTAAAACCATAAGAAATCAAGCGTGTAACTTCCAACCCTGTATAAATCTAGTATAATTTTCCAGCAAATGATATTGTTTTTATGACGAGTAATCATTACCACCTATCATTATCACGTCGTTACAATACCACAAGGAGACACACGGCTTTCCACATCAATACTTAAATACAGATTTATCCCACATAATGACAGGTAATTGACTCACATTATAGAAAACTACTGCAATTTGTTTAGTCGAGATAAAAACTGAAAAGATGTGTTGTGTGCGTTTAATTACTCCATTAAATTAGATAAATTAACTTTTATAAAATTTAAAGTTTATAACACAACGTCCAATGCAAGGTAACCTTACTGTAAATATTTTGTAGAAATTTATAATTGTAAAATTATTCTCATAGGAAATTGCATCTCTTGAGAGTTAGTACATTTCTAAAAAAAAATACATTTTCTCAAATTATAGCCGGTGTTTTATCGAGTAAGTATATAAATTAATGTATGTAAAAAACATTATGATAATTTCCACTCCACCGTAAGTGATGACATCAAAATGGTCCAGGAACATTGTATAAATTTTTCGATACACGTAACATTATCAATACTGGAGGTTTGAATATATTAAAGATATAAGTAATACGTGAATAACTTTTATTCAAAAGGTCTCTGTTAAATCACATGAATTTTCACTAATATGTTTTTAGCAGTTTGTTCTGTCGTTAAACTGAATAGAACTGAATGGAGAATAAACTGAATATATATTTCGCTTAAACTTGGTAAGATATAATCGTTTTAATTCGAACAAGATTTGAAAAGAAAAAGTCGATTCGGATATAATAGAAACGGAAGTTTATCCATCTACATCTTCCCAGTAGTATACTTGCGGAGTAAACAGAGAGACCTGGACGCCCAAAGCACTCTCTCTACGTAAATATGTTTCGCTTCCTTGACATTCATAAATCTTTGCATTCACGATCGTCGGTTTCCGTCAATGAACCGTAATGAGTTTAATCGTGAAAGGTGTTACTTTTATATCTAGAAAAGGAACTTTAATTTTTAATATTTTTCTAGTGACCCAGAGAACAGTCCAGTGACGTACACGATGTCAAGTCTGTTGGACTCACGATCTGCGGGGATGTTCGCCGTGGACTCTAGGACTGGTGTAGTGACAACGCAAGCACGCCTGGACAGAGAACGTCTCGACGTGCACTATTTCAGGGTGGTGGCACAAGATGACACTTTCCCGCCGCGCAGTGGAACTACGACTTTACAGGTTTTTTTTTACAGTATTCCTTACTCTTATTGGATTTTCGAATCTTTTACATTTGTTAAGACTACGGTTAGTGTTGTGTCTGTGGAAATCTTGCATTACAGCAGCAATATTTGCCGTTAACACTGATGTTCATCAATCAGTGTTTGCAAAATGAGAATGGCACCTAATCGCAGTAGTTATCTAGCCCGCCATGCGTGAGGTTTCATACATTTTCACATCACGTAAGACGACACTAATAAAATCACATCCGTTTCCATACTTAACATATGAAGACTATATGTTATCTGCCACTTAATTTATATTAATTAAATATTTACATAATAAAAACGTTATTGTTTTAGTTAACATTAAAGACATTTGTAATCTTTTCTTATCATATTTCGATATTTCCACGCTGCTATAGTTTTATGCAGTGACAAGCTTCGACATTTTTCGGGTTTAAAATAAAATTATATATGAACTCAGTTATTGTCGATCCAATGATGATATTTTTGGACGTTTCAGTGTAAAATTTGTGTTTGTATATCTATATTTATGTTAATACTAGAATTTGTGTTTTTATTGCAATCAAAAAACGGAACCTATTTTAATTCCACTTTTATTTTACCTGTACTTCTCCTCAAATAATAAGATCCAATTACCTATTGCAATTTCAGATTAACGTTTTGGATTGCAATGACCATTCGCCTGTATTCGAAATGCAACAGTATGAAGCCTCTGTGAGAGAAGGCGCCAGTCCTGGCACCACAGTTCTAACGCTAAAAGCAACTGATCAAGATATTGGCAAGAACGCTGAGGTAAAAAGTCATAATGTTATTGGAACCGTTAAAGACCTTGGAAATATATGCAGATTTTTCCAGGCCTTTCTAAGCTGTTATCGATTTTTATATAACATTTTACAGATACCCATAGATGTTTTCTACTTGTTAACGTTTCCCCGGCAAAAATTGTCTTTGCAACCTTCGCCCGAGCAATCAAACTGTCAATACTAGCTTTAGTTTGTTATAAATATGCAATTATATTTTAAAATGTACAATTCCAATTTTTTTCTGCCAATTTTAGTTGGGTCATCGCCGGATTATAAATCATTTGTTCCCTAATTATTCAACTAAATCGCTACTAGAACTTTATTTACACGCAAGATGCCTCACGGAACAAGTCAAATTTATGAATGTAAAAATAGGTAAAGATATACAGGTTAACTTACTCGTTTTACAGGTTTGTGCTTATTTTACACCACCTAGGGTTAAATTGAACATTTATGAAAATTATTTAAACCAAACTTTTTATTTACCAGAAACTTTTTTGTTCATGTAAAAATCAATTAAACCTTCACCCAGGTGGAGTACTCTATAGAATCGGTGACAGCGGAGACACTGACCCCGGGCGGTGAGAATGAATCGATTGACACCAGCTCGGAGCAGGGCGAGGTACAAGACGTGTTCAGGGTGGACGGCCGTAGTGGTGCGTTGTTGACCAGATCACCTTTAGACAGGGAGAAAGTGGCACGGTACTCTGTCATAGTAAAGGCCACGGATCAAGCGAGCCCGGTGTCTGATAGACTATCTAGCACGTGAGTATCATATTCAAATAATTATATTAGCACGGTCTTGTGGGTGTGATTATATGGGTTTTATTTCTCTTTTTATAGTTTGAAACATTAGAATTACGAGAAAAATGCCTTGTGCATTTAAAAAATATTTTTTTTTGTAGATTTTATCACTCTTTATTGTAGAATTTATTGCATCTTTCCTCTTCACAAAAGTCTGAAATAGATGGTGTAGACAAATATGAACCCTAGCTTTCCGCCATCGGCTTCGCCCACGTAGTCACACGATGAATTAACAGTACATTTATTCCCAGAGAACAATTTAGTAAGAAAAAAGTAGCCTATATATAAATTCAAGCTTACAATCAGCCGTATACTGAATCAAAATTCGTTCAGTATTTTTGCAGAGTAAAAAACATACTCCACCTCACAAGAGAGTTTTATCAATGCTAATATTTGAATAAAGATAATTTCGACATTGATGTTGTGACAGGTTACTGGACAAAGTTAGTTATAAATGATCAATGTGCAAGTTTATAAATTAACATAAAAGTAGTTACTGCGTAACTCCCTCTAGCTCCACGTGGCGGGGCGAATTGTATGAGTGAACCTACAATACAATATTGATGATTCTTATCACTTATGTAGTTAATATTTTTGAATTTAGATTGTTGACAATAATATAATTTCCATTTACCTAGGCAAATGATCATATGATCATGTATAGTCTGAATACTATTATACCCCAATGCAATTACTTCACAGTCTGTATTCAATTGGATATATTCTGTAACGAGAGGAGGCTATGCGTCGAAATCCGATTTGCCTAGGCTTCCGTTCAGAGTGGAATCTCTACACTGTTAATCCATTGCTAACTTTATTTATATCGTGTGTTCATATTGTACTGTTTGTTGATTCTGTAGATAATTAACAGAATTAAGCTTCGTAGCATGAAATTTTTGTTAGTAATATACTTGATGGAAATTTTATAATATTACGTGAAATCTTGGCACGATGTAAACTACTTTAAATGTATAATACTAGAATCTCACGTTTGGTTCCACTCGAAAAGTCGTAAGACTAATACATATTCTAGAGTTGGCACGAGTCTCCTTGCTCTCTAAACGTCTGCTACCTATAGTTTGCATCAAATAACAAAGCACAGAATGCACTTAGGAAATTGAAATTAGATGATCCTTTCCGACTGGTTGGGGTAGGTACTGGGCATTTTTAGTCAAGGAAATAAAAACTGGTTCGTCTGCTAAATAGATATTTCGTAAGTAATGTGATAGATGACAAAAGTAGACGATAACTTTGTTGCAGAGATTTTTACGACTTGAACATATGTTTAACAACAAATGACCTACTAGGTTAATTATCATTGTTTGATAAACCAATCACAGAATGGCAATTAGGCATGAGACGATATTAGGTTCCGGATCGGAATCTATCGACTAATAATATTGGGCCTTATCTAGCAGACTCCTCCGATTCCCGTTGGATTAATAATCCAACGGGAATAAAAATTAATTTTATTTCAAAATGGAATCAGACTCTATACTCTAAAAACCGATATTCGATATGTCGAGATTTCTTTGTCGTCTTTTCTGCTCTAACTTACCTTTTTTTCAATGTCATAGAGTAGGACAGAGTACAATGATTGTAGTAAAGTATAACCCGAGATCAAGGCTTATCATAGAGTATGAAATCGGAGGTCTGTCACCTTTGAGCGATTTATCCGTTGCGTTAAATCTCTATCGTTATGGTTTATTGTGTAAAGTTAAACACTGTAAGTGAATTACCTTAATAGTAAACTGTGCTGTTTTATTTCAGTAAGACTAAAAATATAATTTCGAAACTAAAAACTTATAAAATCAAAATCAAAATCATTTATTCAGTCTAGGCTGTTACAAGCACTTGTGAAAGTCGAGAGCTACGCCAACGGTTCGTAAATCTACGGCGGGAGACCTTGTACCGAGAAGAACCGGCAAGAAACTCGGCAAGGGCTGCTTTTTTCTCCCTGTTTTATTTCATACAGAGCGTCAAGATTGAAAAATGACTTCATTAAAATTTGAAGTCACTTTCCATTACAATATAACACAATATTAAGAGTAAAACAGTATTTTCGTCAATCCAATCACATTTGTAGCCAAAGAAGCTCACCGATTAACAATTTAATATATATGAAAAATGAGCCATATATGCTAATGAGCTATATATTGTACCATCAGGGCGACAGTCCACGTGAACATCTTAGACGACAACGACAACTACCCTCAGTTCAGTGAGAAGACCTACACTGTCACCGTGGACGAGGACATCAGCGTCAATGACAATCCTGTAGTCGCCAGGATCAAGTAAGTTTCTGGTTTAAACGACATAACTATATTTTCAATAGTTTTTAAAGAAAAATTTGGTCACTTAATAATACCGCTAGAGTTGGATTCGGCAAGTTCGATAAAGATTAAAATATATATTGACGAAATGATTATATATCCAGAAATAAATAAGGCAAGTAAGTATGAACAGTTAATTTACCAAAAAATATTTAACCAATATATATTAATAATAATTTATAACTATATATATTGGATACTCGATGCTATATCGATGACTCTACAACAATAGGCAGTACTCCGGGGAATCGATACAGAATTCTATGGTAAGCGATACGTTCGTTTGTTCTGTTCGTTTGTTAGACCGCCCATTACGAGTTTTTGAGGTTTACATTTATCTCAAATATCTATAACTATCAAGAATTACAAATCTGACGTCAAACCCATACTCACACCCTGACTATACTTGGCTAGCGCACTATGGGCGATCTAACAGGTGTATAGTACGCACTTGGCATGTTAATTCATCATCATCATCACCAGCCTATTAATTTGCCCACTGTTGGGGCTCAGTCCTTCCCTATGGATGGAATCGAATAGGGAGAATGAGCCATGACCCACCACGCGGGCCCAGTGCAGATTGGTGGGTATTAATAACTGCAGATGCAAACGGGACCAACGGCTTAACGTGCCTTCTGAAGCAGGGGAACTCAATAAAAAAAAATTTTTGGTCACCCATTCTATGACCATCCATTGCGAAAGTTGGTTAACAACCGTATCGCAGCCTGAGTGCGCTAGCCATTGCACCATCGAGCTCTTTATAGCTCCGTATGTTAATTGTATTAACATTTAACTTCTTCATATGTCATCTAATCTGCCGCAACGTTTCACTGCCTGACGTTTTGAATTATCACTGTCGTAAATCTAATGCGATCGTTGTTTAAAACGAGAATAGCTCGCTCCACGATATATATGTACCCTCCCTCTGATACTGCTATGAGTTAATGGATCGTAATACACAATATCATACGCTCGTAAACGCGCCAAGACGTTTATGACGCGTTTCAAATAAATGCATAACGACGATTTAAGTATAATTTCCATTCACAATTTTAATGTAAGATATATTTCACAATGATTAAGTTTCGGTGGTAAAATGCAGCTATTTAAATATTTTAGTCTTAGAGGTTTAATACTCTTACATTTTTAATTCTGTAAGTTCAATTAGAATAGCTTTTTTATAACATCTCCAATTTTTCAATTTGAAAATATACTTAAACTTATGTAACCTTTTTAGGAGATAAGTATATATATTTTCTTAATAATTGTCACGATAAGAATTTGGCGCCGTTTTATGTTTATTTCTTTTATGGAAATATATCTAGCTCGTATCTACGTAAATGTATAATGTGAGTGGTTTTTGAAAGACACGATTTTTATTAATTGTCTTTTTAGATGCCACATATGTCATAGGAGTATATTTTAATACCTATGTACAATTCACAAAACGAGCCCGGCTTTTAGGCTCTAGCTCAATGATTTGTAACATTGCTCTAACTAATAAAAAACGGCCCAGTGCGGTTCTGTGGGTATTAACAACTGCAGATGCAGCACCAACGGCTTAACTCCTTGCGAATGTCGGAGGAACTCAAGATAATAAATTTTTGGTCACCTATCCTATGAGCGGCCATTGCGAAAGTTGTTACAACCGTATAGCCGACCGAGTGCGCTTACCACTGCGCGATCGAGTTCCCTATAACATGTCTTTTAAGATTTAAAATGTATTTCATCTAACAGCTTTATTGCTTCTCTAGACTTTAAGTGTGTGTACACTTGCACAGCAGGCAGCGAAATGTTAGTTCATATTTTATGCGAAGAGCTTGTAAAACTAAGTCTATATTATTTTGTAGGTACTACGTAACTAAGTCATAAGAGCTTTATAATATCAGCTAATACTATTTTACAATGTTAATATTGAGTTAGCTGAAAATTTCTAAGATACAAGTGTGGAATTTTCTACAAAAGTTTTATAATAATCTAGAGTCTAAAATATAGCGGTATTTGAGGCGCCGCAAACCACACATTAATTTCTTTGGATAATCTTTTTAGATGTTTCTCCCGCTTTGATTCATAACTATCAGGAGAAATGCAGATCGCATTGGAGTCATTAAGAGGTTTGAGAAGCCGAATTTCAAACTATGAAATGTTTAACTTTTTTGTTTTATTACACAGAGCTACGGATGCAGACGTTGGCGCAAACGCAGCGATACGTTACGCTATCATCGGTGGCAACACACAGATGCAGTTCTCGATCGACAGCCTGAGTGGTGACGTTTCTTTGGTTAAACCACTGGACTATGAACAACTGAGGAGCTACCGACTCGTCATCAGGGCTCAAGGTAAAGCAAACACTCTGAAAATGGCCGAAACTTGGATTAAGAGCTTGTAGGAACATTTGAGGTATTTACCGCAGTCAAAAATAGATTCTTTTTCTAATATGGTTAAAGTTATGAACTTGCATGTGTGCATGGTTGCATAATTGGGCAAACATCCACCTGTCATATCGCTAAGTAAAAAATATTTGTTCTTAAAAATCACAACAGATGGCATTAAAATTTCTTTCTTTCTTTCTTTCTTTCTTGCATTATATATATCATTCAGTATTTAATGTTCAGTTGAATGTAAAATCCAGAATATATTTTACGTTTATGCAAAAATCCATAGAATATCCAAGTACAATTCGAAGTGTTGCTTGCTCACTTGTGGCGTCTAGCGCGAAGAATAACCCGAGTTAGGACGGTCACATTTTGTGTTATGGAATGAGGCATCTTTTTAATCTGACAAAAAAATATACCAAACCTCTCTCTGAAGCATTTAATTGTCATATCATATTGTATTTGTCAATTCTGACGTTTCGGGACGGCGGGACATGAATCAAAATGATATTACCGATCCGACCGAAGATATTAGCGTCAGACATGCACAGATCAACCCTAACGCCGTTAGCACACTGACGCATTCGCTTGCCAAAGCGAAACTAATGCGAATGCGAAATATCTGCGTCGTGTAACGATATTTTCGCAGTTGTCTGCAAAACAGTACTGACAAGGACGCAGTTATTTCGTCGAGCTAATAATAGAGCGAGACAAAGCACATGCGAAACATCGCCATACAACTAACAAGTTGTTTTGTTGTTTCGCTTCCGCATGCGATTGCGTTGGTGGCTCAAGTGACTAGTTCTAGTGAACGGTCAACATTTACAGTTTTAGTTTACATTTAAAGTATTCCTATTTTCGAATATTACCCTATCGAATTTTTAATATTTTTTATTATTTTGTAGATGGTGGTAGCCCATCCCGTTCGAACACCACTCAGCTACTGGTGAACGTGCGCGACGTCAACGATAACTCGCCGCGTTTCTATACGTCACTGTTTCAAGAATCTGTTAGCGAAAATGTTCCTGTTGGATACAGCATAGTCAGGGTAATGGCCCCATTCAATTTACTGTATAAGAAATAATGTTTTTTAAATTTGGAAAAGAATACATACGACTGTTATTTTTTTATTTTAAGATTGATACTTGAATGCCAGAACATAATTATGAATTACAATATAGATGAAACGCTTGGTGGCTCGTGACTAAGTGAGTCGGGCTTATTGCCTTTGCCTTTATGTATCATAGAGAAATCAGATTTAATTTAACAAAAAACTAGTTGATTGTCTCAATGAAAGGTTTTTATATCTTTTTTTTTGTCATTAATTAGTGTTGTGGAATTTATGCTAGAATTTTTTTTATATAGAAGTAGTCGTAAATGTCAAAAATTGTTTTTAAAAAAAAGGCTGACCTATAATTATATTGTTTTCTATTCATACAGGTTCAAGCATACGATGCAGACGAGGGCGTGAACGCTGACCTGACGTACACGTTAATGGACAAGGAGTACAATGGCAACCTTGACTTACCGATCACAATAGACTCGCGATCAGGCTGGGTGTACACTTCCGGCCAGTTAGACAGAGAGGTTCAAGCCAAATACCAACTTCAGGTAACTTTTTTTGTGATCTCGTATGCGTGGATATAAATTGAACTCATGAAAAGGTATTTTTTATAACTACATTAGTTTTTCTCTGTCATTAAAAATGTATAAAATCAAGCGAGCGCGTCATTACTCTTGATGCGTATTTGTGTGGGAACGTAAGCTGAAGTACAAGAGAGCCTTAAATTAAGTGACTTTCCGATGGATAAGTTTTTGTAACTTTTTGTTTCCAATTCTCCACTACGAATGTAGATAGTAAACAAATTGATTGCGACAGGTCGTGGGTTCGAAGCTCATCTCAGAGTACCAAGGCCAAAGTGGATTTTTTAAACATTTTTCTTAAAGAACTCTCCAGTATAGCATCGTAAATACAAATTTAATAAAATATAATAAATACATTTTTATTTCTGGTAGTGCTTAATATACTATTAACGATCATGATACTTTTATACTTATTATATTTATAATATTGCTTTAATAGGGATGATGACTGGGTAAAAAAAAATGCAATTCTATTTAGTCCGTCAGTCAGATAATAGAAAAATATTAGATAAGTATTTTTTTTATTTCAATTTAACAATAAATAGCTTACATAACAGCCATTAAAGTTGAGGTGTGGGGGCTCGCTACGTCACAGTTGAGTAGAAAACGTACCCTAACGTGACGTCATGCGAAATTTCAACTCCATGTAACGCCGTAATTTTATGATTACGAAAAAAAATAAAAATACGTGTTTAATATTTTTTAACACTCTACCTGACGGACAAACAAACAAAAATTAGTCATCATCCCTATTTATTATGAAAAATCAAATATTTGTCACGTGAACGCAAACAGTGTGTGGCGTCACCTTCTTAATCATACCAGAACTTAAGAAATTAAACCTTATGCATTCATAGAACGATATTAGTTAAAAGAGGGGTGTAACGTCACAGCGACGCCATGACAAAAGTTGGCGTTTTCGCGGGTAATATAGATAATTAAATTTATTTTTAGATTTTAACATATTAAATAAACGATACTTGACCCGTATTGTGCAGGTGACGGCAACAGACGGCGGCACCCCCCCTCGTTCGGCGACCGCGTCGCTGGCGGTGGTGGTTCAGGACGTGAACGACAACGACCCGGTTTTCTCGCCCGCGCACTACGACGTCGAGATTGCGGAGGACGAGCCGCCCGGCACCCCTCTCGTCACGGTCACCGCCACCGACGCGGATGAGGATAACAGGTGATGTGTTTACAGCCAATGGCAATATCGACGAGGGATGCAGCGTGAACTTTGTGTAGACAGCGATGTTTTGGTACTCATTATTAATACTATTAATGACTCCACTGCTGAGACTCAGACCTACCCTGATGGAATAAAATCTAATAGAGAGAATGGGCCATGAACCCCTAGTCAGCACTGACCAGTACGGTTTGGTGGGTATTAACGACTGCAGATGCAGCCGGGACTTTAAGCTTTACGCGCCTTCTGAAACGCGGAGGTTAATAAATTTTTGGTCATCCATCCTATAACTGGCACTTGAGAAAGTTGCTTAACAATTATACAGACTTAGCGCGCTTATCACTGGCCCACGTCGCCTCATTTTACTATAAGATTTTACTGGAAAGAAAGTCCTATTATCCCGTCGTTTATTTGTTGAATTTCGTTAATGGGCCCTCTGCACTGTGGACGATAATGGGTAGACCCATTAGACTAAATTTACAAAGCTATTTTGAAAAGAAAAATAAACCGAAGTGTTTGATTAAATATATATATATATAATAAAAAAATATCAACATTTTCATTGCAACAAAACTTTTTTAAAGCTATAACTAGAATCTAGGATATAGAGTTAGACCGTGTTAACGTGGCTTTGTACTTATAAACGTCAGACTCCACTATGAAATCACGGGCGGCAACACGCGGGGTCGATTCTCGATCACGTCCCAGAACGGGCGGGGTCTGATCACGGTCGCCCAGCCGCTCGACTACAAGCAGGAGAAGCGTTACGTGCTCACCGTCACCGCCACCGACAGCGGTGGACGATCCGACACCGCCATGGTGCACATCAACATCACGGACGCTAACAACTACGCGCCTGTCTTCGAAAATGCACCTTACACCGCGGCGGTAAGTTTCAATGTTGTGAAACGTGTTTATTATTTGTGGCCGCAAAAGAAATATTATGGTTAAACCCGGCCGCAATGGTCGAACGATACGCAATAGTATCTATACTAATATTATAAAGAACAAAGATTTCTTTTTTTTGCAACTATTGGAAACTATTGGACCGATTCAAAAAGTTCTTTGATCTACGGGAATCTACATCATATGCGGTGGAGTTAGGCTATATTTTATCCCGAAAAACTGTAAATAAATGTGTGTGACAGTTTATGTAGGGAACTAAAACGTAACCATAGCAACAATTGTTTACTATTTTTGTCATTGTAATTATAGCTGCGTCACGATATGATCAATCATTTTATAAATAATTATCCCGCTAAACAGTTCCCTGGCGGAAAGGTAGTAGCTTTCTAATATGATATTAATATAGCACTGCGACCACTCATAGGTGTAAGAATGCCAAAGTTTTACATCATACACCTACTTCATGCAAGCTGTGACAGCATCGCATTTTTTATTCATGGCAGCGGTCGGTGCGGTCCGGTTATTTGACTTTCACCATAAAGAAATAATGATTAGGATGACTGATCTCCCGTCTCTTTCTGTCTCAGTTATCACGATCCAAACCACCACCTTAAATTGTAAATAACAACATGAGTAATCCAATGTTTTATAAAGGCTCAGATTATCATATAATGTCCATTTCCGTAATCGATTCGAACTCTACTTGTTACGCTACGAATTATATAAATAAATTTATGGTCAGTTTAGTAGAATATTATGTTGATTGTACATTTTTTATTTGACCAAGGTGTTCGAAGACTCTCCTATCGGTACCACCGTTCTAGTAGTCTCAGCGACGGACAGCGACGTCGGTGTGAACGCTCAGATCACCTATAGCCTCAGCTCAGAGATCTCTAATGAAGCGGTCACCCATCACGACCAAGAGTTCATCATCAATCCGCAGACTGGCGCTATCACTACCAACAAATTGCTGGATAGAGAAACCATGAGCGGTAAAGTATTATTTCTTTATTTAAAATTTTGTAGTTTTTCTACGTGAAAAACAACTAACTAACATACGGTTTCGTGTACTGGGTATAAATTACTCTACTAACCCCATCCATTTACACGAATGCCCGTTACAATGGTGAATATCAATGGGTCCCGTCCGTGTAGTCTTCATATTTAGAAACACCTGATTTTGATTCATAAAAATGGAGCGAGTAGTTTTAAAGTAAGGATTGTTTTAATTAACTAACATCCAGTTTTGTGTACGGGGTATAAATTACTCTACTGCCATCCATTTGCTCAAATAACCGCTACAATGGTGAATATCAATGGGTCTCTTATATCCGTTTGTCTTCATATTTAGAAATACACGTATTTTTAATTCAAATCGAGCGAGTAGTTTTGAAGTAAGGATTGTATTAATTTTTGCCTTTTTCAACAATTTTGCCTTGGTGAGATATGGACGTGTGACGTCACGTTACAACGCGCCGCACTCGCAGTACTGAGTCACTCGTACAGTGTACCGGTTTCTTGACGACAATAACAATAGCTTAAGTCGTATGCCGTCCATGTGGTAGAACTTAAGTCTTAAGTACTTAAGTCGTATGCCGTACATGTTCCGTGGGCCGTGTGTAGATTCCGAATGCGGATTGGTAGTGCTAAAGCACAAGTATTCTTATAGAACGAAACCAATACGCATCCACCCAACATTCCTTACTGAGACCGCATGTAGGACCCAAAGCGGATAGGTGCTGCTATAGCACAAATATACTTAATGGATGTAACCAGTCTACCCAGTAATCCCACTATACCATCGAGCTTATCACCTGTTGCTATAGAAGGGACACAAATTTTTCGTCAAATTGAATAATATGTAATGTTTCACATTGCATGCATGTAAGAAATTGCATAACTGATATCACTGATATTTGTAATGCATTTTCAGCCGTTGGTCTGGTCCCGGCTGCATTTGCAGTCGTCAATACCCTCCAATCTGTATTGGGCCAGCGTGAGGGTCATGGCCCATCCTCCTTAACTATCCACAAGAAAGGCCTGAACCCTTGCAGTCGGGACGTAAAAGGGCTGATGATGACGAGATTATTATTATTACCTAAAATATATTTTTCTCTTCAAAGGATACCTGTTGACGGTGACCGCGCGAGACGGCGGTGTGCCATCTCTCTCTGACACCACGGACGTGGAGATATCTGTCGTGGACGTGAATGATAACGCACCGGTTTTCAAACAACAACTCTACACAGCTAGTATTATGGAAGATGCTGTAGTTGGTGAGGATTATATTTTAAAGATATAAACTCGATCCAAATAATGGTCATTAAAATGATTTTAGCGCTTGAGAAATTAATTTAAAAAGAAACATTACTTACAATTGTATAAAAATACAGCGTCGAACACAGCGCTGTACTTCAAAAGGCAATTAAGAACGTTAAAAAGTTTTATTTATATGATGCTGTATTTTAAAAGAATACCAAAGCAAATCAAAAATATAAATTCACTTTAATTATGACGTAATAACTAAATTCATTTAAAAGTTTTTTACATTTCTTTGATAGAAATAATGAGACAAATGAAATATACAATGCTAATTGTCTTCTTCTATCTCTTTTTATTGATAAAATTATATCATTACAGTCGATCTAGTGCGAATCAAACGTGAAGTACTTTGTACCTTTTGATTGAGACGTGTAGTATATGCACTAGTCTGTGAAATAAACAAATATGTACAATTTATAGTTTAAAAGATACAGCCCAGTGGAACAAAAGTTTTCGACGGACGGAGAGATTGACTACTAAACGCTGAGCTTTAGTGGGTAAACCCCGTGTTTCTTGACTAGCGGTAGGTCTTACATAGCCCTCTGACCCTGTGCTAGGAGAGGAGCGGGTATGTGTAAGACATTTTTCGGTGTCATTTAATGAAAAGAAAAAAATTTGGTCAACTACTAAATCCTGAAACCCGGACTAAATGTAATTTGTATTATTGTATAGGTATATCGGTGATACAAGTGAGTGCAACGGACGCGGACGTCGGTTTAAACGGTCGCGTTCACTACGAGCTGGAGGCAAAAGACAGAGAGGAGGGCTCGTTCGTAATAGACCCTTCGTCCGGCGTCATCAGGACCAACAAAGCTTTGGATAGAGAGTCTGTCGCTACATACGATCTGAAAGCATTAGCAATTGATGGTGGATCACCGCCGCAGAGCTCAACTGTAAGTCGGAAATTATTATATTTTATATAGTAACGAGCAATGTTTATAAAATACGTATTTTTTTCGTAATCAATAAATTCGTATGACGTCACACATTTGTATATTTTCTGTTTATTATCCAAGGCAGAGGGATGTTCGATATTTATCGATGTTCAGCTAAAAAACATCGATGTTTTAACTTCGATAACATCGGCACATCGATGTTTTCTAGCCAAACATCGATTTTTATGAATAAAATATCAATATATACTTAGGGTCATCTAACGTTCTCTAGATGTACTAGCTAGATGATCTCGTATATCAAGTTCAACTTTTTCTACTAGATGTCACTGGTTGCACTCGTAACTGGAGTAACCAAACAAATAATTATTTTATTGTTTGCATTTTCCAAGGAAGTTAAAAATAAATCAGTTAACTTCAGCGCTCTCGGTACCCTATAATTAACCGATAACGTACTTCAATGACTGTTATGATTTTATAGGTTATTTTGAGAACAAAAATTAATAAGTTGCCCTTAAGATATTACGATACTAATTGCTTGCTGTTTTGTTTTGCATTGAATGTGTAAAGGTTCAAGAAGATTATTTTTTTTTCGGTGTCGGTATATCTTTGTTATCCAGTCATCGTCCCTATTATGTTACAATTCCATATGGCGTCTAGCTGTCCTGAAAGTACTTACGCTGCTTTCTTTTTAATAGCGGCATTTTTAAAACTTAGACGAGTGCATGGTATGACTTTTGAAGTCCATATTCTTAATCCAATTCGTTAAGATTTACCGTTAACCGGTATTTTACCGCTAACTATTAAAAATAAGTTTTATACAAATTAACAAAGGTTATGTTTACCAGATTTAGTTATTGGATAGAATAGGCTAGTTGTCATTTTTTTATTTTATAAATGAATAGTCTATTTATATTATAATGTGGGTAGCAGCATGTCTGCGATTAATAGTTTCGAAAATACGGTGTTATGTTTGTTGCTATGAACTGCTGCTGCTCTCTACAAATTCAAGCCACTAACTGACGTCACGCGGTGCTACGTTAGCGAAAAACGTGTCTTTTTAATATATTTGTTATTTGTGCGTTTATGTTTAAAGCTTTTATAACGAAAGTTGTTACGTTTTGTGTAATGTAATGCCATATGTATTTTAGCATTTTTTTTATATTCAAAGAACTTTCGATTGTCTTTAACCAGTCCCTAAACTTATATGTTTCATTGCACATAGGTGATAGTTCACATAAAGGTGGAAGATGTGAACGACTCCCCGCCTGTGTTCGAGAGTGATTGCCTCACGTTCTACATACCAGAGAACAGCCCAATTGGTACTACTGTCGGTGAAATACACGCTCATGATCCTGACGAAGGAGCCAAT